TTCTCCTATACATAATCGCTTATGCACATTCATTTTTTAACTGAACTTGTAAATTTTAGTCTGTATTAGTATTCTGTAAATTTCCATGAAAAAATGGGAGTGTGCTGAACATAGAGAAAAATTCTTTGAATGTTTTGTTCATCACAGTTCAAATAGCCAATACTTGGACTGTAAGTAGTTTAACTACAAAGAATGAATACCCTGTGAGAGAAGTGGGAGGTATTTTATTCTTCTGGAAGATGAAAGGATGAACTCTGTCAAGAATTCTTTTCTTAGTTTTGCCACTAAAATCCTGCAGGAACTCTTGACAAAATTCTCCAGAATTTTATGGTCAAATCTTCAATTCCTACATCCTAGATCCCTAGAACCATCTAACTACTGGACTCATGTATATAGACAGATTACTTCATTTTAGTCTTTGCAGAATTAGAAACAAGTCTTTTGCTTCCAGATCTTCAAAGAACTTTTGACACCTAATTTCCATAAAAATCAATTAATGACACCAAGACTAAAATAAATAGCTGCTTTCTGGTGACTTTGAGATAAATCCTCAATCACATACTCAGATATTTTAAAAACCTAATAAATTAAGACATTATTATAATTTTTAAAAATACTGAGAAAGAGTTAATTTTCCAGTGCCCTAGAGAATGGTAAAGAAAATTATATATGCAGTACTGTGACAAATAGGGATTATTTCAAGGTCAATATATAAATAAAATTTATGTCATGGGTTTCCATTAATTATTTTTCATTGGTCTTTTCTGAATGACATGTTCATTGACATTAGAAACAAATGTTTCAATAAACCTGATGGTTCATATTCAATATACTGTACAGTTATACATTTCCATCCTGTGGAATCAAGTGGTCTCTAAGCAACTGCCTGAAAAAAAAATGAGAGTGGATGAAGGGGCTTAAATGAACATGAACCTATATACTTAAATAATTCTCAATTTATGACACTCATATATAGGTCAAATTAGAAGAAATGTTTATCCATTGATAAATTTCCCTGTTAAAAAATGTCCTACAAAACTAATTTATTCCCAAGAGTCGTGACAGCATTTCTGGAGAATTCAAAGCATCTAAACTAAAGAACATAGTCACAACAAAATCCCAAAAGGAGTCCCTCAAAGAAAAGAAAATCAACAAAAGAGATAAAAATTTAGCTATTTTAGCTTTCATTGAAGTTTGGAAATTTGCAGAGGACTTTCTCTGACTCAACAGGCTTGAGGTGTCTATTGCACTCAATCAAACACTCAGAAATCCATTCAAGGAGCAAGCAAAGCACACAGACTACAAAAAGGCCTAGAGGTACAAGGAATAGCTTTCTTTTGAAGAGAGTATAGTAAGAAGGGTGTAAGTAGCACCTTTTTTACAAAATCATCATGTTGGAATCTTATAACAAGTGCAGAATCAGGATTATGAGGGGATTTGATTTGTATGACAGACTTGGAAACAAAAATCAGCAAGGCCACACTTTCTCAGCTGTGGTCACAGAACTTCTCTCTGACCTTTAATTTAGCAAAAACCCCACAAAATTTAAAAGAGAATGAAGCCTTCACAAAGAAGAAATAATTTTGTTTCATGACCAGCCCTTTTCAGGTAACCATTTGTGATGCAAATACAGGAGTGCAAGTAAAGGTGCAAAAGGAGCATTTTGAGTTTTCTAAAGCTAAAGATTATGACAAATCCTAGACATACACACACACACACCACACACACACTTTCTTCATTTCTGAACTTCCCCATTGAGAAATTTAACAAAATAACTCAGCTTTATAAGGAGCACAGTGGAGAAGTAATATTGACCTTAAAATGCCTTGGACAAGGGTCATAGAAGGAAAAAAACCTAAGACAGAGATTTTAGGCTGGCAGCAATAGTTTATTCTCTGACAATGCAGATAAACCTGAGCTGTCAGGCCCCTAGAAAAATACCACTGTCGTTCTGATTGGGAACGGCGATAAAGAACGACATGGACTCTCTAGGAGTCACAACAGGAGAATCCCTCTAGTTTATTGCTCTAGGCTTGTCTTATAGACAGATACGTGGAAAAGTACAGAAAAGAAACCGTTATTGGTTAGCAAAGTGCTACATCACCATCATTGGTCAGTGGGGCACAACACCCCCCTGACTCTCTCCTGCAAGGAAAACAAGAGGACAGACAAACAGCACCTGGCAGTTGTTTTCTGTCTCTGAGGATTGTTTTGAAATCCTCCTATGAATTTCCCAGGCTAGCTTCTCAGGCAGGACTGAGAGGCCATGGGCCTGCAGCCTGCTCCAAAGCTAGCATCCATATACCACCTCAGTCAATGTCAAGCTCTGTTATTTCAAATGATGCTGGGTTTGGTTGGCTGAAGTTCCAGTTGTGCTCATTTCCTCCACAAGAAAGTACAGGAGGAGCTAGTTACTAGTTACTCCCTGACACAAAAAAAGTACATTTTTTACCAATGATAGTCATAAATACACAAAAGGTACATTTTATTTTGAGAGAAGAAGAAACATCTCTTTGTCTCTAGTTGGAACCTTCTGTAATTTCTCTGAGTAAGCATGATTTTTAATTGGCAAAATGCAACATTTTTCTTTCTGCTAATGTATGAACCATCTAATGAAACATTTAAACACTTACAGATGGTTACAGTGGGGTTTCCTTTCCACTGTAACATATTCCAGTGCAGTACTTTGTTTTTCTAATATACTCTAGAAATTCACAAAACTGTGAATCATTTAAGCATGGGTTGTAATATGAAGTATCCTAGTTGCTTCATCACTAATAAACCAGCAGAGGTTCCCATGGAGTATAGTTTTTTTTTCTGTGGGAGACTTCAATAAGGGTTAAGAATTAACCATACACTGTATGCTTTGTAGAATCTTACATAAGAAAATACACCCCAAAAATTTAGCTAGAAATACAATCCTAGTTCCTCAATTTCCAGAGCTCCTTTCTGCAATTCAATTTTTAACCACAAACAACCAAATAAGATTTTACAGGCTTCTCTCCAGCATGCTATTTCTCCCATAGTTTGCATTTCTCAAGCATTAGAAAGCCTCATATGCTTTACAAGGCTAACTGTTTAAATTACAATGGAAACTGTTTCCAAATGTGTTCATTTCAATACATGTTATTCTTAGAGTATTTTAGCCGACCTTAAGAATCTTTCACCCTCCTTTAAGGAGAAGTAGCAGGATACCATAAATCATAAAACAGCATAAAACTCTAGCATTTGCTGTAAGTTAGAACTATGATTTTCCTCATGCTTCTTAGTAGGAAGACTTTCTACAATTTATTTCATGATAATTTATTTGGTTTAAAAAGCAGAATGTAATTTAATGGAATTTAAAATGCTGCACTTACTGGAATACTTTATTCCTCACAAGGTCTAGGGGTTTAGAATTGACTAATAGACAGCGATGATGATAAATCAATGTAGCAGAGTTAGTTTCTTAGAGTTGAATTGGATTTAGTCACTCAGCCCTCAGAATAATGAAATTGCATGACCAAATCTCCCGCTTCTCAGAGAATTTGGGGATAAAGGACCTCAGCTAATATTTTATTTTTTTTTGAGAGAGAGACTTTCTAATGGTATTGAAAAAATAAACCTATGTAAGTCATAGCAGTTTAATTCATCATCTTCCTTTTCTGTTGAAATTTCAATTAAAATCACAGTTCATAATGTTCCACGCACAGAATTAATTTCTTTTATTGGACAATCTAAAAATATATGTACCTAGTTAGTGTACCAACTTCAGCATACATCTAGAGAGAAGTTGTAAGCAATAAATTAGTTGCTTCCCTAAAAAAATTCCCAAGAATTTCTAAAGTAAAAGTAGTTTAAACACTTCAAAAACCAAGAAAACTATTTTTTTTGCCACTAGTAAAATTTCATTTTGGTCTTGTGTGTAGTTCACATTAATAAATAAAAAAAAAATCATTATGTGTCTCAGCTAACTAACAGTAGAAACTAAATTAAAATTTAACCTTAACATTTTGTTGTAATGTTTCTTGAATTCCCTGTGTGTAGAAATGCATATGCCTGATTTCCATTCCAAGTTTACATTTTTCTCTCTAATTAGAACAATGAATCTTAGCAGTCAGCTGAACTGTCAGAGCTACTTGTGTTATGCTTTGCCTATTTCTATTTAGGTTGGTTAAAGACTTTCATAATAGAACTCTGGCCATGCCAAAATAATCCCTTCCTCCACGCCTCTTCAGCACCAGCCCAAATCTACACAACCTTTGGCTGGCCAGAACAGCAGACAAGCACGTGGAAAGTTCTGCTGAGTATGATTCAGTGGTACTCTTTTGGGGGGTCACTTATTTAAAAAGTGAAACTTGAGTGTGTATAATATCCCCCTTCTATGGGCAGCTATAAGAGCCATGGTAGATGAGATGTGAACAGCTGCTTTACCTGAAGAAGAAATCCACATGGGTGTTCTGATCATTTAAGTTCTCTACACAAACCTTCTCTGTGTGAAATGCATTTTATGCAGCCACCTGTACCCAGTGGGAATCCTTTCTGTGTTACATGGACTGTCACATCTTGAAATAGAAACACAGGAGGTTTCTATTCTATTTTTATTTAAAAGACACATACTTAACTACAATGGATTTGTTAGTGATGGTATTCATATTAAAACTTTTCAGGAGTGCACTTTTTAATGTACTTTATAAATTAATAGAGCCAGAAAGATTTCAACATTATAACGGGAAATGCATCTCTGCCACAATTCCAAAATCTTGGGGGATTTTGCTGGTCAGTGTTTCCTTCTCTTATCCTAATTTAAAATACTGTAATAAACAAATGTAAATAATCAAACACATGTACCAAACACCCGTTAGCCTCAGATGCTACAGATCAAAATTTTTTGTCATTTATATTTCTATTTCTTCATCCCTAGGCTTTATACTGGAAACTGCATTCCTCCACATTTGACAGATTATAATGACTATCTTTCTCCAGCACTTTTTAAATGCCTCCAATTATGATTTCATTACCTTTTTTTCTCCTCTTCTCTTTGGGTTCACAGTTTAGAACAACAGCCTTGGTAAACAATGCTTCACAGTAAGCCATCATCTTCCAGTATGAGAAATTCTTATAACTGCACCAGTGCTAGCATACTGTTGAGCACTAGCTTCCAGGAAAATCCTGCAATAGATACAAGAAATTAATATGTCTTCATACCCTATTTAGAAACATAAAGCTCAAATATCAAATTTCATCCATTTGTGTTCAGGAAGTGAGAAGCATCAGTTCATCACACCCATGTGTTATTGTGCACAACATCCATTATAATCCCCCCACAGATAAAACTTAATAAAACATACACCATCATTCAAGAGTTGCCATGTCACCTGTCCATGATGTTTCTAGAGTTCAGCTAGCCTTGCCACATTACATTCCAAGAATACTTAATTCCAGCTCAATAGCTACTTGGGGGGAAGGGGGGAAATAAATTTATAAATAATCCCTTACTAAAATCACCCGATGTGATTGAAGTTCTTTTCTTCTAGGTGGTGTAGAAAAATTTTCCATTAAAAATAGAGTAGATTACACATAATGGGATCCTTTCTGCCTTTTTGTGTCCATCAGCCAAAGAGGGACTGCAGTTGGTTGAAGTAGGCTGGTTAATGCTCTGCTATCATTAAAAGAAGCGTAACAGTGTGATTGTACATTTGGAAAAAAAAAACCACAGGCATCTTTGCTATCATTTTCAAAGTGGAAGCTCTGTAACTGCTAGATTCCGTCATTACTACATCTACTAGCACTGAAAATTTGTTGAAGTTGTGTATATGGATGAATTAATCCAACATCAAGTTTTAATAATTCATGATGCAGTACCTGCTACTAATACAGAAACACTTCAACTGCTCAAAAAAACCTTACAGATTCTAGGGAAGATGTGAAGCATTTTGAAAATTTTATTCCTTGGCAAGAATAATTTTTCACCTCAGTCAGGACTGACAGCTGTAATTCTTATTCCTCAAAGGCAGAAGCAATGACATAGTCTCCCTGAAGCAAGGAGGAAATGAAATGAGCCTTAGTATATGCACACATTTCATAAGCTCTGCATGGGAAACTATGATTTTGCCTTTTTGTCTGCACTGGTTCCAGACAGAACCAGTTCATTTTTGCAGTAGCTGAGACCAAGACTAATGTTATTCAATACCACCTCATGTCATTGCCAGGGTTGGCAGAAAGGGAATCTCTCTCTCCCTTCCAAAAGTGTTCCTTCTGGTTGGATAAAGGGGGCAGAGTGAGGGAGCCATCCCATAATGTTCTTTGTCCTGGGTTCCCAGAATGTGCCAAGCATTTTTGCATGTGAATCACTCTCTCTTGTACACTTTGTAACTCTATTTGTTTTCTTATCTCATTCCTGTTTCCAGTAATTTGTTCTTGTCTCCACTTGTGCTCTTCATGGTTTTTGCCTCCAATTCTCACCTCTGTGCCACCACAGCAGGAAGTGGAAGAGGGAGAGAGAAGGAGAGAGAACATGCAGACTTGGGAGAGTGTTTGTGGTAGCACTGATCTGGGGAATACCATGAAACCACAAGTGAGAGAGGAGCAAATCCTGGAGGGGTTGGTCATGCTTGGTGCCCTCATCAGCAAAGGTGGTACCAAGCAGTAGTGTAGATGATCTGAAAGCTCAAGACAATAATCAGCTGTGTCAGACTTTGTCAGGTCTGACACTTCTCTTATCAAGCATGAAGCATACAAGCGCATTTGTGTGGAATACACAGATGAGTTTTTTCATACTGATGAACTCATAAAGGTACGAGATGTGTGCATCAGCAATAACAAACAGGTCAGCATAATGAAATTCTTAGTACTGCCATGGCAACTTAATGATGATGCAATAAGCAAATTAAAATTGTACTAAATTATCCTTCTTATATTTTGGTTACTCTTCGCAGAAAACATTAAAGAGAAGAAAATATATAACAGTATATATTTTTCGATTAATAAATTCAAAATTTCTTTTCTTAAACATATAATCATGCCATATATAGCAAGACTAAATATCATGGATTACTAATATAACCTTTATGTATTCACTAGGTTTTATTGCTTTTCTGTATTTAATTTTCAGTTGTGATAAGACATATTCTTCTTCTCTACCGTAGTTTCACAGTAGAACTTATAGATACTCATGTATCCAATGTAATAAAAATCAGCAATATCTGATATTTCACTTCTTTTGCTTGATCTCAAATTTGTTAAATGTTTATTTAATCTGCTGAATGTACCAGTATTCAACCTTGTCATTTTTCTTTAAAAAACCCTAAACCTTTCCATTTTTCCTTAAAAAAAATGGGTAAGGTGAACTGTTCATTTATTTTTCTATATTTACAAAAAAGTCCAAATTCTGAAGTATAATTACACAAAGACAATCAGTACAATTCAAAACTGAAGTTCTGTTAAATAACAATTATTTTACTGCAAATGTATTATCAAAACTAATTTTAGCAGCTGCCACTAAACACGCGCTTTTTGTTAAGTTGTATGTTTGAGAACAGTAACTTACAAACTTAGATGAAGATTCAGGTGATTTCTAAACAAAACTTTTCCAGATTGTGAAGACTGACTACAGCCAGAGGGGAAACAAAGCATCATTTGAACAGTGCTCAATACGAACAATTGCATTATATTGAAGACAAACCTTATCTAAAGTCCCAGTTCAGCCACCACCCCTGTCACTGCTAAGCTCTGTGATCCAGTTTTTCATCTCAGTGCTCATTTAAGGATTACAAATAGTTTTTTTGAGGACTTTTTTATTTCTTCATATTCAAAAATATTCAGTTTTGGTTTCCTACAGGCCTATGTGGGTTCTTCATGGACCACAGTTTCATTATATATTACACAGACATTAAAGATCAAAAACATGATTTGGGAAACCCTGGAGGTACAGGTATAACACAGATAATGGACCTTGTTCAAAGTTTTTTGTCACATTTTTCCAACAATGAGCACAGGAAATGTTTACAATTATCACATGTCCTTTCAGCAACACATTTTCTTAAGAGAGAAGAAAATGCATCTACCTTTCTTGCTTGTCTTTTCTTGCCCTTTCTTTAGGGGCATGGTTTAGGTCTTAAATTGACAGATACTAGTAAACAACACAACTTTAAACTGATATTTTCTTGCTCACCATTTCAGGTAACTTTTCTGAAGTTTTGAGTGCTGGGATATTTTTTACCATTTAATCAGTCAACACAGCAATCCAGATAAATTACTCTAATACCAAACACACAAACAAATTTATTTATCAGCTGCCCACTTTCAGAACTGGAGTTTTTAATAACCATATCTCAGATTAAATCTTCAGGAGCCAAGAATATTGTAAATTATTTTCCCTTTCACTCACATTCATTCACTTCACAGTATAATTTCAGTTCTCTTTCAAATGCTAGGGCCAAAAAAAATTGTCACTACTGGTTTGGGTTTGCCTTTTCCCCTTCAGACATATGAGGCTTTTGCTAGTCATGGAAAATACATCATAATACTTTAGAGAAAATGGAATTTAATGTTTTGCAGTTCAAAGATTTCAGTCTAATAGTGTTATTTTGTAGTTTTAAAACTGTTTTAAAACATGTCAACACCAAAAATGTCAATAGCATTGCTACACAGAAGACAGCTATGGATATATTGTCATAAAAGGCTTATTTTAGTCTGTTTCTAGAAGAAAAAAAAAAAACAAAAACATTTTGAGATCATAATGTCTCTTTCCATCTTCAGCTCAGAACTTCATCTTATTCCATTTTTATCCCATCTCACCAATTCAAAGGAAAAATATATTCTCAAAACCAATTATGTTCCCACAAGTTTTCTTGAAAATTCCATGAATGGGAAGGAAGAGGATCAAATTAATGCTTTCATATGGAAAAAGATTGTCAGAACTCTGATATTACACACAACATCAGCTGCCTGGTCAAGTAGTGTGAACCCAGTTGCTGGTCATTTGGCGTGTCCATAGCTCAATATTACTTCTTTTATTGTACCTCTTGCCCACAAATATTAACATTACAGCAGTGAGGATGGAAATTATTCAGACCTATAAAAAGAAGCCATCATCACTTGAACTGTTCTTCAAACAAACTTGTTCAGTGCTTACTCCTATACTTTAAAAAAAAATCCCAACCTAATACTGAACTTTCTCTGTCAAATTGTGGATTCAATATAATATAAAAAAATTCATTTGCTGATACCTTGATATTTTTTTGCTGCAGCCAACTGAGAGTTTGCTGATAAAGCTGAAAGTGTCAGTTACTCTGTAATGCCATAAAATAATAAATGCAGTACATTATACTGGATGTAGAAGGTGATTGATAATTACTTGCCATCATGATTTGTAAGTTCCCAAATCAGTGATTTTGAATAGATACATAAGTGATTCAGCATTCATATTCAGGTACCATTAAATCCCTGTAGCCCTTGAAGTTTGCAGACCCCCTGATTTTCACTAGTATTGATTTATTTTGTTCTGAATTTATTTTGTAGCAGCTAGGGGAATTATATAAGTTCCAGTCTTTCTAAAAACACTGATACAGCTGCTTCCTGAGAACCTTTGAATTTCCTATTTCATCAAACTGTTTGCTACAACCGTCACTTAACAATAAACTCTCTCCAATATTTGATAGTAATGAAAACAATTGATTCCATTGAGGAACACTGATGTGCAAAGAAGAGTCAGATTTTAGACATTATCCTAGTAAAATAATCCTAGGGAAAAAAAAAGGGATAGAAATAGGAAAACAACTACACAAGCATCACTGCAGATAGGAGTTCCACCAATATGCCTATCCACATTAATATTAGCCTCCTTGCTAGACAAGCCATTTTCCTGTAGCAATGAGGCTGGTGTTTGCAGCAGTTCGTGTATCTGGGGAGGACTGACCTCCTAACCTGTGCAATGCTGGAAAAGAAAGCCCAAATGCTGGAAAATTCTAATTCTTCATAATACCTCCCAGCATTAATTTCATTTAATAGAGTCAATGAAAATTCATTTCAACTGAATAGAAAAAGATGGTGCATTTAAGCTTTCCCTTAGTATCCAACCAAAATAAAATCTTCCTTATATGATCAGTAAGTCAGTTGTGGTCTTTATTATTTCCAAAGGATCACTGAGGTTGGAAGTGACCTCTGGAGATCATCTAGTCTTAGTTCTGTGTTCAAAACAGCTGTCTGCTCAGGAGCACAGCCAGTCAGTTTTCAAATATTTCTAGAGGTGCTGACAGCCTCCACCTCCTCTTTCATCAACCTGTTCAAGTCTTTGACTACCTTCAGAATTAAAAAGTTGTTTCTTAGATTAAACCAGAATTTTCTGTATTTCAATTTGTGCCTACTACTGAACACAGCACTTCATGTGCAATCCCACAAGCCCTGAGGGGAAGCATCACTTCCCCTGACCTGCTGGTGACAATGTTCGTACAAACCCAGCACCAGGTTGAACATGTACAGTCTGCAGCAGGAGGTTGATTAACATACAAGAATTCTAATATTTAGTAACTAAAGTCCTTCCAAGACAATCTGTAATGTAACATAATAGACCTCTCATCTGACACCAATACTCTATGCACAAAAGAAAATATATCCTTCATATTTGTGGGCTTCCTCTTAGTCACACCTTGAAAGACATTTTCTCCAGTGAATATGTGGATCCAACATCCAAATGTCTCAAAAATAATTCAACAGAATATAAAATAAAATCAGATTAGTTTGTGATTAATATGTTGGGGGTTTTTTGCCTACAATGAATTTTTATTACATGGAGTTGAAGCATGGAATAAAAAGCACCTGAACATGAGAAATCAATAAAATGTTATTACTAGCCATTTGCATACCCCTATGACTTTTCATGAAAACACAACTGCAAGAGGTACAAGCAACAGATAGATAGCACCAAAAAAATCCCATACAGAGGTCATAGTTCCAGCTATCCTTATTCTAAGATGAATTTTAAAAGTTAAATTTCACACTGTCCTGACTTAATAAATCTGCATTCTACTGCATTAAATTAATATTCAACCCCGAAATTTTAAGAATTTACCTGTTCTGAGGACTTGAGGTGACATATTAAATTTAAAATACTGAAACAGTTTAAGGTCCACAAATTGTATGATCAATAACTTCCAGGTTAAAACTTAATTCTTGCTTGTTCTTTATTCTGTAGCAGTGGTCATACCCAGTCACTGTACTTCATCTCAGCTGGTTCCCAGGGACTTGGGGCAGAAGGAGAGCAGACAGTTACATAGAGCACAAACCTATTAATATTTAACATTCAAAGCCTTAAGTAAAATGAAGTGTTTCAGAAATGCAGTTGCAGTTTAGAAACACAGAGTCCAGCCTGCACTGGCACAGTGACAAATTTGTTCCCTTCTTCCTTCAGTGCTTCACCTCAGTGACACTAAACATTGCAATGTATTAAAGCTGAGCAGCCAGTCCACCATTCCTGCACTCTCTGCCTTGGCTTGTGCCTGTCTCCAGCAGAAAACACATGCAGAACACCACACCAGCCAAGCAGGAGAGCTGAGGCCACGAGATGAGCACACTTCCCTTTTATCTTCACTGCAGCAGCAGTCCCACATTGTGTTACTGCACTTAGGAGCCTGATTCCAGCAGTGCTGCCTTGACAAGAGCAGAGCAAGATGTGAGCAGAGATGGAGACTCAGTTATGGGGGGTCATGATCAGCCATCACTGGGGCTGAAATGCCTCTCTCAACTCTACAATCAGTTTGAGATGACATTTTTCAACTACTTCCACAACATGGAGTTCTACCACCATAAAGAGCAAGTAAATAATGAAAAATAATATTATGCAATCTTCATGCCTATAGGAGACACAGCTCTTTCTGTGTAGAAAATGAAGAATCATGGATAGTTCTGATATGTTCCAAAATTATTTCACTTTATTTTTCATTCTGGAAGCTTTCTTTTTTATATACACTGGAAAACAATTATATATAGCTGTTTGGTGTGGAATGTCACACTGCTTGCAGGAAATCAACAAAAGATGTAGAATATAAGGCGTACACTGAGCTCACAGGCTGGTGGTTCACATTTAAGTTGGCTAATTCCTGCCAAACACACATGACAATAATTATGATTTCTAATTTATAAATGTGAATTAAGCATTAACATTGCAGACAAAGAGCTTCAAATACCAGGGCTTCCTAGAGATACTACAGTTGATGTGTAGGAGACCACATTGGTGGAATGAACAAAGCCAAGTCCTCCATCTTATTTTTGCTACTTTTTGCTTCTCCTATACATCAATATATGTAGAAATGAAAGCAAAAATATAAATGATAAGACTAGAAGAAAATTACAAAGTTTGGTCTAGCTTTTTATCCTCTGCCAGTAAAAGCCATGTAAGAACATTTTTCAGGGAGGATCAGTGCATTCTGCCTCATATGACCATGAAAGTACCTAGACAGTTATAACAAAACTTGTAATGGTGCTTCACTTTAGTCTTTAACGTTAGTGTTGAGAATCATGAACACCAAAGATTACAGAAAAAATATGTTTAAAGAATTAAAATGGAAACTATCATTAGTAAGAAAAATTGAGTTCTATGCTAACATTTCTCTAAAAGTTTAAAAAATACTGTGAAAGCCCGTTCAAAACAAGCCCTTCTTTGCCAGAAAAAGCAAAACAAGCCGAAAACACCTGTGACAGATGCTTTGCCAGAGTCAAAAATCACATTTGAACTTTAGATGGTAAATTCTGTTTCAAGTCTGAAATCCCTCACACTTGAGTGAGCTCTGAGTAAAATGAGATCTTCTGCTTCTATATGTATCAGGCAGGGTCATCTCTTATCTCTACCAGCCACAGCTCACTCTTTGAAATTCATCAAGCATTAATTAACTGGCATTCCATTAAATGCCTAAGATTTTCAAAGCATTCCCCAATCAGACCACATTAGGTTAACCTGGTGTGGTCAAATATGCTCTTCCATAATACATTTCCACATACTGCTCCACTTCATATTGGTTAAAAGTGATAAACATAAAAGTAGCCAAATATGAACCCAAACTCATGCAGTCAGTTAATTAAGCATCTCAACTAAGAGTGAAATATGTATGACATTTTGACCTTTGCTATCAAACTTTCCTTCTCTTTTCCTTCATAAAAATAGCATTAGTAAAACATTAAAAAAAAATCAATAATAAGAGAGAGAATTGTTGTGTTTTGTACTTGCATTTTATATGCTCCTAATTCCAGCTGACTGCTATTTTGTGAGGGGGCAACTGACAGTTCCCTAGCAACAGATTAATTGATTACAGCTTTAAATCCACCTCCTTCAACTCATTTCTCCTATTCCTCACTTATGGGTGTACACATGCACATCTGCCAGGTAAAAGATAGAACATAGAAATCTAAAGCACAAAGAGAGAAGGATCTGACCACAATTTATTCCAGAAGTGTTTTAAATTTCAGAAAAAATATACTGTAATATCAGGATTAAAAATTAATTCAAAATTATTTCAGCATATTTTCAGTCATGTTCTTTTCATGCTACTCTTTAATACAGGGATCAGTAAATCTTTTCATTCCCTATTACAGTAATGAACACGGATTAATTCCAAATTTACATATAAAATTTTACCTGTCTGGTAATGTTAGAAGCTATAATGGAAAAAAGAAATTTAGAGATAGAAGGCTGAATGCCATAAAGTAGGTCCAAGAGCTAATCTCCACTCATATAACAATAATGTCTGTCCCAATAACTTATTATTACCAAAGCATAGGGAATTTTTGCTCCATTTGTTTTAGAGCTAGCTCTCTTTTATATATATTATCAAAGGGAAATATTTTCAGTACCAAAATAGGAAATAGGTGTGAAAATGGTCTCAGGTAGGTTTCCAGACCCTAAATCCAGCCCAAAACCTCTGCTAAACTCAAATTCATAAACTTTTCAGCTGCTGCAGTTTCTGACTTAAATGCTTGAATCTTCTGGCAGAAACAAGCATCAGGGTGATGTTTTGAATAAATTGTAAGGTCTTAGGGTCTTCTTAAAGAATGAAAGTGAGTATTGAGAGCAAGAAAATGTGAAAAAGTGAAATTGAGAGCAAGAAGGAATGAGTCCAGGACTGGTAGGGAAGAAAAGAGCTCTAAGGAAATGTTTGTCGATTGCTTCTCCTATGCTGGAAGTACAGACTCACTGCAATTTCTCTGGGAAATTTTGATCTCTTCTATTAAGAGCAAATTAAGTGAATTGCCATGTCACTAATCTCCAATAGGCAAGATCAAGACATGGCATTGTCTCAACATAGTAATTATTAATCTGAATTCAGGGCTCCCCACTCCCCTTCTTGGAGCAGAGATGCCTTCTTTTCTCAGACTGTTATTGGAAACATGCAAACTTACCTCTTCCTTAAGAAAGCCAGAGCCATCAAGGTATGGTTTGGGTAGAATTATGGTATTTTTCTTTCCATTTGAAGTGGTTCAAAGTTTTTTAGTCTGCAGCAAAGCTCAACAATTGCCCAAGCCTGCAAGAACAGGTAAAACAGGCTTAAAAAGTTCTGTAAAGCTGATCAGAAACAGGAGAGGTGAATTCTTTTTTCTTCCAGTTTTCCTTCCTGATTTGCCCTAAACTATGACACTTCAATATTTAAATAAAAAATAAAAATAAACAAAAAAAATTAAAATTTTTCATGTAAAATATATAAACAGGCCTGGGAACATGGTAATCAGCTCCCCACACTTATAGCCATAACTACTAGACTCCAAGTCAGGCACTGCATACTAAATGTCTGATTACCTGATCATCCACATCACCAGATACTATGTTTCTTTCTCTACCACTATATCTGTAGAAAACTTAGAATACTTTACTCTGCGAGGAATCCATTTTAAAATTTTGGCTTAGGGTAATCTAACATTGAAGTCCCTATTAGGTCTGTCCTTAAAATATTAAGTTCTGAGACAGACTGAGTCAGAAGAAATTTGCAGCTTTGTAAATTTAATTTGTAAAATACATAGCAATTGTTTTAACTAACTGCAGAACTGCTCAACTAGGGCATTTATTCTGAATATTTAGCCAACAAGCATGAAAAATATTTAACTTTAGACATTTTATTTAACTTTATATTTAACTTTTTATTTAACTTGATATTTAACTTTAGAGATTTTTCCACATGTAAATAACATGAATATAAGAGTTTGCAAATGCTAAGCATCTAAAGATAACTCAGTAATATTTCCATTCTAATTTAAAGCACCTATGTATAAGTCTCTGTCCCCTACTTGCAACATCCTACCCCTTTCTTTACCGATGTGACATTAAAGGGATTTGGATACTCATTCTCTTCTTAAGAAAGTGTATTTCCAGTGGGAAGCTGCTAGCATGATCTTGGAAGTAAACCTTGGCAACACGAATCATAACATTCTCAAACATTATTCTAGCCTCTTGGCAGGGAAGAGACACCTACAATCACATCGTAGCTAACAAATACATACCATGGCTTAGAGATTAATGAAAATAGTAAATAAATGGTCAGGAATGTATTTTATGTATGCTGCAAGTGTCTGGTTTAAATATAAATTTAGATATTATAGGAGTAATTGGAAAGGAACATATATATGTTGCCTGCCTTAATTTAAAAATACAGAAGACACATATTAAAGATAATTTCCATACTTACCTTCTATTTCACCCAGCAACACAGAACATTTATCTCTCAAGTGGTCCTTATCATAAAATAAATTAATTTGGTCCCAAGATCAACGTGGCACACAAATCAACTCATTTTTATCACTCTCCATTATGTAAATTGAAAATGAAGAAAAATCATATTGAAGATATAGAAAGGCTTCCTGACAGTTAGAGGTAGGATTTCTAGAATATTATGTCTTCCGCATCTTTTGCCCCCAAATTTGAGTCTTAAGTAAAATCTTTATGTACCATATTTTGACATTTGGAAGTTTGTGGTGTATTCTCCAGAAAGGTTTCTAGGCCTTGCATGGAAATTTTGAGCAGAATTTTTTTATTGGCAATATTTCATATAGAAAAAGGATCTCCATGAATTTCTGTGAGCATGCACTACCTGTAATAATTACTTTTTCCAAAAATTACCTCTCAGGTGCCAAGCGTATCAACTTCTACTGCTTTACAAGCATCATATTTGTCACATACAGCAGAATTTGTGCCTTTACTCCACCACCATCCACCCTTGCTCCCTTAAGAGAATCCTTTCTCCTAAGTACCAGAATCACTGTGCTATTATGCTAGTCATGAACCATTACATATCCTGCCTCCCTAGTCCAATAAATTTTGTATTTTATGCAAAGCAAGCAATCGCCAGCTGAAGAAGTTAAGCATGACACACATAAAGATAGCCTCATTGGACAAAGTTTTAGAGAATTACTCTGTACATTTTAGAGCAGAAATTTTTAATTCTTACTGATCTGAAATGCTTGCAAGCAGGCCATGTAACTATTTCAATAATTTCAAGAAAAAAAAAAAGCCCTGGAAATTTTCACTCATGAAATGATATTTGCCTGATTATTGTCATCTTCTGTTTCCATTTTGTTAGAACTTTAAGCCAAATAGTCCATCTGGCATTTTCTCTCACTTGTCATTTTTTAAGTTATAAAAATACAGTATATTTTAAAATTCTAGATCATCAGTTTTATTTTCTCACATAAGTACTGAGCATAAGAACTCAAATACTTTTACAGAATATTTTATGAAATAAACCTCTTCAACTACAGCTGAGATCTGCATCTGGACTCTGTTTCAGTATCTTACTGACTGACTGCTGACAGTAATGGTCAGGGAGAAGGAGTGCACTGGGCTTGAACATAAATGGATGTTTCACAAAATCACCTCAAAATATCCAAAGAGTACAGAGGATTTAACTACATATCTTCCATTGGAATCAGCACGTGTATTGTGTGTAAGAGAGAAAGAGGCTTAAGTTGTTCTTCATATGGTCTTCAGTGTGCATTCTGCCTGCTTCAAAAAAACATAAAATAATTGCAGAATGTATTCAACAGACTGGTGAGCACCTCCACAAGCACAATCAACATGAGCTGAGAGGGTCTCACTTTACTTCATGAATAGACTTACATTACATCTTGTGAAATTACTGAGCAGCTGTTAGAGAGAAAAGAAAACATGATCAGTATTCTTTTGTAGGGACTTACTGAGGACAAATCATCAAATACACATGGTAAATAGAAATGAAGTCTTGAATAGGTGATAAGCAATCAACTACAAACAAAAGTGAGACACTGTGACCTTACATTCAGCGTGAGTAGTGAATTAACATATCTGTGCAGTACACTAGGAAATTAAGAGGACAATAAGGACATAATAAATGTAAAACCAGGCATAGGCTACATAAATCCAAAATACCTAATCTAGCCTAATTATAGTATATTTTAAATCCCACATCCCAAACCTTGGCCATCTAATCTTTTCACCAGCAACCAGCATAGTTAAGTTTACAGACTTAACCTATATATTTAAACAAGGCATATGACATGGTCTAGTCATGAAGAAGACAGAAAAGTGATTCAGAAAATGGGCTCAGTTAACTTATCTTTGTCCATTGTGCAGAATTTTAACCCTTCTATTATATACAATGCCAATCCCCCAAGATCTCTTCTGCCCTGCCTAACCTTCATGAAGAACCTGCAACCATCTGGCAGGGCAGTTCTGTCACAGGACTCATCCCTCCACTTTCACTCATGCCAATGGTGTCAAATCTCTGGGAGTGGGCCAAAGGTTCCAGCTCCTCTTGTTTGTTCCTCATGCTGTGGGCATTAGTGTAGGAACATTTCAGGTGTGGTACTTTGTGGCCAACACCTGGTGAAGCAGGTTGAGGGATCCCATTAGTGCTCATTTCCTCCAGTTTTGGCACACCATCCCACCCTTCATCACTGGTTTTATCCCTTTCCCCCTTTGTCCCTTTCCCCCTTCCACTGTTTAGCAGTACAATATAAAATTATAAGTAGTTACCCAGAATTTATGCATTATGCATTTCCAGCCATAGACAATTGCAAATTTCCATAAAGAAATTTAATACAAAAGAAGAAAAAACTGGTGGGCGTTTCTCTAGATTTCTTTATGTTCTAGGCTGGTCCATAGATGCACTGACTGATCTGTGCTGCAGATTAAGCAGATGTGAAAGGTGTCTGAGAGGTTTAGGATGTTTCACACTCATGGCCTTTGTGCTACATCACACAAATGTTCTTACAAATTTGTCAGTGGAACTAGTGACACCACAAACTCCTGTGACAAAGAAAAGAATCAACAAGAAATCATCTAATTTGCAGTTTATTGGGAAAGTGTTATAAATCTGTTTAGATCGTTTAGAGACTTCATGCGGCACATATTAAACTAAGGTAAAAAGTGAGTAGGAGGTCAAAAACGGTAATAGAAAGGGAATTCTTCTACAATGATGAGTGAGAGTCTGTCAAAGCCTTTAGTTAGATATCAGCACAATCTAGTGAAGACCACTCCATTTACTTTAATGGACCTACACAAGCTCATACAAGTGAACTTGAGTCATGCTGCTATTTTTACTTGCAATAACATGCATCTATGTTTCTTTTGCTTGTTCATACAGTTATTTTTTTCACATTTCCTTAAGGAGAAGGAACAAATGCACAACAGACTTGTTGCTTTTCCTCAGGATATAGGTGCCTTATTTAATGTGCACTAACAGGCAACATTTGTTTGGAATTGTAGAGAATGCAAAGAAAAGAAAAGCCACAGAATCACAGAATATTCTGATTTGGAAGGATAATCAAGTCATCTATGAATAAATTACAAAAGTTATGCTGATGTCAAGCATTGGAGTATTACTGGCACTTGCTTTCATTTTCAAGTCATGCAGTAATAGTATGATTTAACACCTTTAATAATAGTATCATTTTAGTGATAATGGTCAACAGACAGAAATTAGACAAAATTTACAGAGGCAGGAAGTTTCTTCTTTTGGGTTAACCATACCAACTGGAGAAACAAAATCAAATCAGCTCTTGAGGATGCCAGCTCTTCTCCCGGTCTTCCTAAAACATACCATATTTCAAGCATATTGCTTCAGAATGTCATTCACTGTTGGAGTAAGCAAGAGGCCTCTTTCTTCCAGGGCCTGGAAACTAGTCCTCGTATTTCACATAAACCTCAAAGTAAGAACTGAGTATCTAAATTTATAATTCTCTTTAGTGAACCACTACACAAAAGTACAAAATTAGAGAGGAAAAGAACTTCAATGATTTTTCTTCTGCTTTAACTTTGCTGACTCTCAACTTCTTTGTACTTTATGCTTCCCTGCTCCAATAAAGAGCAAACTGAAGTACCACTACATGCATGTGCACGTGCGTGTGTGCACACCTACAGACATTTTCACCACTTATTTCAAGAATGTGCATTGCTCTCAGGCTAAATCATAAGCAGGATGTCTCTTGCCTTCACAATTTAAGGGATATAATGAAAGGGCTTTTAGGATAATGAACTGTCCTGTACCAGAAAATAGGGTTCATTCTTTTAGATGCATTACCTTCCACACCAGTGCCAAATGAACAAAATTGTTTGAGTGGATGGAAGTCAAATTGTAAGGATAAGAGGTCTTTTTATGTGTATACCTGGGAAAGAAATACTCCATTATGGATTTTTAATCACTCTGTGATCATATGACTATAATGTATCCCTGGAATAGTATTCAAGGGATGCATTATATTTTAAATGTTCCATCCAAAACGCTGTGCAAATGGCTTTTCTTTCCCCTCAGTATTAAATTCCTTTTTGGCTGATTGGAAATAAATAGACAGCATAGAACTCTCAATAACTGATTTGATTTCTAAGCTTTTTATCATGTAAGCTATAATAAATTATTCCTTGTGACAGAAAGCACATCATATATTTCCTGTGAATCTGCTGGAAAATGCAAATGCGCCATTACTTCAGACACATTCTCTTTGCAAATCAAACACTGCACCTGATAGTTTCTAAGTTTCTCCAGTTACAAAAATGTCACAGTTATATCAAGAGCTGCCTAAAATTTGCAAACTTTAAGTTATAGTAACAAAAATATATCAATTTTGATTAAAAAGGCAATTTTTGTGAAAATATTTTATTCAGAGAGAAAACCTAATGTTACAGATTAAAATTTAAAAGGTTCAGTCCAATATCTACATAATGAACAACTTTGATGTTGTTCAAACATGCTCAACAAAGTGTGCATGCTGTGTTCAATTCCATCTCAAAAATGCAATACATTAAAAAGATCCACTCTGCTATTTTGAATGCAGTCCTTGGTTTGACCTGGAGTTCCCTCTAAAACACGAACATCACTATCAATAATACCAATTTGTCCTTTGATCAGATAAAAGCATACCACTGGAAGTTTCTTCCTGAGATTTTTGGAAGACTATATCCATCAGAACTGCCATCTCCCCTGTTGGAAAAGGAACAGTTTGTTTGTTGTATGGCCTCTTTTCCCAAAAGTGCTGAAATATTCTCAGTCGGTGCTAGAATAAAAGACCGTTCCATGAGCTTCAGCAATTAAGTCTTTGCTGTCATATCTGAGATAGACATTCCAGCAGAATCATTATTGGGAGCATAAATAGCAATAAAATAAACATATGAAACAATGTTTTCAGAATAAATATTCTTCAAATTAGTTTCAAAGATAAATTATAGCTTTTAATTTATCATTTTCTTCACTCATAATTTTTTCCTCAAATGTACTAGCTTGGAAAACTGTCAGATAATTTACATGTACCCAGTGAATCTGAGAAGGAATATTTTAATGATGTCTGCATCTTGAGGACCAACAGTTATTGCTATGAACCAAAATTTTTCATTGGGCTATTAAGAGCTAAAACTAGTTCTATGTGAGCACCTCACACTGCAGTTTTATCCCAAGAAAACATGGTGATATAGAAGTATAAAACTGACATCCAAAGTGTGCAAATCAATCAATCAACTTCAAAGTATTTTCAGAAAGTAAAAAAAAACAAACAAACAAACAAACAAACAAAAAACTATGAAACATTAGCAAACAATTATATTTGCTATTTTAGTCCTATTTTTTCTAAGGGAAAATATACATTTTTTTAAAAATGAATTCACATTTGAAAATTTCTATTAAAAACTACATGTAAAATAAAAATATGTTCTTTCACAATTTCCAACTAAAACTCAGAACATTTCAAGAACCTTTTATTCTGTGACAAAATTTAATCACAAACGTATTGTTCTGGCAACAAGTTTTCCCAATTGTTATAAGTTAAAATTTAGCTTTTTTTACTTTTATCATGATTTTTTGAGTTCAATGAGGGCAATTACAAAAATGGCATCTGTTTATAAACCCTGCAAAAAAAAAACTTATAGTACTTGACACTGCAAATTCTGGATATAAACACACTGAAATGAACAATTTGATTGAAGTTTCGTTTTTCAAAGTACAACAGTTGGAAAGCAGTAGTAGTTTTCTAACCACTAGCATGAAAATTTCATGTCACTTACTAATTTTATAGAATTTTGAAGATACATAATCCTTCCTACTGCTTCTCTTTAAAGTAATTGTATTAGTTTCTCTTTTGTTTTCCACTGGATTGTCAGTTTTAAGAAGTGGGTTACTTGATATATGTTTCAAGTAGCTCTTCTCTTGGTTACTTTAAAGCTGGAGTCATTCCTCTTCCATCATTATTCCAAACATTTTCTCATCCCCCAGCACATTCTCTAAATATCTCTTTAGATATGTCAGTTTGGGGCAATGACAGACATTTCCACAACTGTCTAATGAAAGTAAATACAAGGCTTGTCTGCACATGAAAGTGGAAAGATTAAGCTACTTTGAAGTAAGGCACCTTGTTCTTCATGGGTGCCTCCAGACTTTAGTTTTTATATATTGACTTCACTCCTTGGCAGTCTTCATGCAGTCCTGATCTCAAGCATGAATAACCATAAAATGTTAAAACTATTATTCTGAGAACAGTGGTACTTTACAAAGCCCCTTTTCCCAAGAGATTTGTGGTCAGTGGTGCTCCTGTGTGGATTTTTTGATACCAGATTAATTTACCGATTGCATTCATATCTTCACAAGAACATTACTAAGCACCTTTTTTTTTTAGACACTTATTCTAGTCCCAAAACATACAGAAAAACACTGTCTTTTCAGACACTTGGTGTATTTGTCTGAAACTGTGCACAAGGCTAAAATTAAAGGTAAGATCTAGACACAAGCCTATAAATATATATAGAAACACAACTTGCTAAATTACTCTTTTAGCAAAGCAGATTGGAAAAGAAAGAAACATCTCAGAATTGTATCATGGAGTAACACAAGACTCCTTTCGTTTGTCTGCTGGACTTGCTGTACAATCAGATTTTTAATTAATTTACATCTCTGTAAAATTGACAAAATATTCCTTCAGCCAAACCTTGGTATGTCCCAGATAATTAGCAATCAAACTTTTCAGAGCATGGATTATTTTTCACAACAAAAATCATAGTTTGGAACCCCACAATTCAACAACAGCAAAGTAAATGAGAAAACTTTGCATAGTGTAATCCCCTAAAATTTCTACTATAGGAGTGTTTA